GGCTGAAATCCTCGCGTATCAAGGTCGAGTATTCTCTCAAGAAGCACCTTTTCCTCCAAGTCGGTCAACTTCCTCGAGTTGGCAGGTAATTCGCATCGTGATTGCTTTCCGGCACGTCGGTGTTGAAGCGAGCTTCGTGAGATCGTGTAGATCACAGCAGCTTTTCGTATGGAAAGTTTAGGGTCTTTTTTGAGAGCCTCAAGCGCAAGGATTATGTGACTTTCTTTTGGAAGAGCTTCCATTTTAGGTTGTGGAAAAAGTTCGCGATGAAGTTGAAAGATGACAAAAGGAAGAAAAGTGGCCCACTCGCTATGCTGGCCCACTCGCTATGCAAGTACGTTATGGCAAGACTGGCGGCATCACATGTGGGCAGCAGCAAGCGCCACTGCCTCCGGTATTGGCCGGGAAGGTATTACCGACCAAGTCAAGGTCAAATATGCACACAGTAGGCGGCGAGAATGTTTTGAGATGCGCGGAAGTTCAGAAATCTGACAACGCCGAATTTGCAAGTTCCAGAATCGCCGGGCAAAGGAGAAGCAGATGAGGAAGATTGCTGAGTTTGAGGCGCAGCAGGCTAGAGAGCGAGCCGCTTCCGAGTCCAAGTCATCTGAAGGGCACGATCAGGCCGTGGAAAGCGAATTCTTTGAGCTGGATAACCAACACCAAACCTCAAGTCTGTCTAGTGGGACATTTGGAGAAGAAGACGACGAGGTTAGGGCCGAAAGCGACAGTTCCGCGTCTTCTACTCCCGGACCTGCCGAGCAGGACGCCGCCAAGTTCGGCGAGACTCTGGAGCCTGATGCGGATTGCTCTATGCAAGTAAAACGCGAGGCATTGCACTCGCCGGCTCACTATATATAGGAGATGATAGAGCTTGCCCCGCTGGCCACTATCACTGGACAGTTTGGCCAACCCAAGACGAAGGATGAATTTCTATACGCGACAGCCTTTATATATCGACTCACGGATTCAACGATTGGGGACGGTTTTGGGTGCCCAGACTTTGACACTCTCCAGGCACACCAAGCATGGACATGGGCGCTGCGGGTGCATTCAGCCTGTTTTCTGAACGCGATTACTATACCACTCCTTCGGTACCCCAATTCGCGTCCGAGAACCTGGCGACGAGCGCATCAATATAGACAGAAGACTACCACCACCTCTTACGGCATTACACCTTAGTAGAGAGCCTAGCTATGTCAAACACCGTTTCTCCTACCTCAATCCCCGAATCGCCTTCAACGCTATCAGATCTGCGTATAGCCCGACCTGGGACATCGAGGCCGACGAGGGCGAGGAAGAGTATACTGAGCCGGCCGTCGACTTACAGATACCTGAGCGCGCCAAGCTCGCCGAAATCCTCGGCAACCAGCCAGACAACTTAAGCTCCGCAGAGCTGCTCGAACTCCGCATCCAGGCTGCTGAGCTCATGGCCTCGTTGTGCGATAAGCGAGAGACCAGAAAGAGAGACCGCATCCGGCAGAGGGCACGGACCGATGTTGCAGCGAAGGAGGAGTCTCCCGGGCTTGACCCCTTTCCACTGCTAATGGAAGAAGCAATGCCCACTCTGTATCGGAGATGAAACTCTGTCTTATGAGGAAAGGACGTCAAGTACTGCCCGCTGGCGGTGATGTGCCACCATTTCGATAGGAAGCATGTGCAGCAGCTAGGTGGCGTGAAGCAGATGTCGTGCTACCACCCTAAGTGCAAGCAGGAGGCGTTGGAGTTCAAGCACTTGAACCACTTCAAGAACCACGTAGAGAGGGTCCACGGTATCAGATTACGGGCGTGAGTGTATGTTATTTAAATTACCTCTATCAAGTTTCTAGAGCATATCATTATAATGGGCTTTGGCTTCCTCTCAGGACACGTTAATGTGATAATCACGTCGAGGATATTCGTGGTCGACCGGCAACGGAGAGCATCGCTCGCCACATCAAATGCCACAGCTGGATAATTGCTACCGGACTAACATTTCCCTCTGATCATTGTCTCCAATGTAATATGAAATAGACGGGCCATCGGTTTGCAATGATGGAAACAAGCATTTGAGTTCTAGGCCGATCTCCATACCAGCGAGGGCTGCCTGACCGAGGGAAAATGTGGTGGATTGACCTGCTCCACCGGATAGGTGGTTTCTGACTAGGCGGTGAGGTAAAAGTAGAGAGGATAGCTAAGGTAAGTCAAGTAGGCAGTGTGAAAGGTGGTGAGTAGGAGACAAGTTACAAATAAATATAATGGTCTCTTCAATGGTTGTTGGATCTAATCTATCTTAATCTGCTCCCCTTCTTAACGCCCCCTGTCCGTCACCCTATCGTCCTGGCCCTCCTTCTAACCCTCCTCCTCCTCCTCTTCCCACCATCGCCACAACTGCATCACCACCCGGCACATCTCATTGCTCTCCATGCCTCCCTATTGCACCTTGCGCCCCATCCACCGCAACCATTCGTCCGTGTCAGCCTCATCCACAACCGCCCCCTGCTCCTGCATCCACTCGTACAACCGCCTCGACCCCGACACCCCCACCGCTCCCCACATCGACATCACCGTCCGTATCAACACCCCCCGGTACTGCCACTTCCCCCCTTCTACCTGCCAGAACCCGCCCGACGGGCCCCTCGCCTCGTGTCACCGGCATATCGCCTGCGGGATCCTGCAATCGAAACAACACGAATATGCCTCCCACCGGACTACCTGCTCCGCCCGCCCTACCATCCTACGTACCACGCCCGTGTCCCTGTCCGGGCAACCTGTGCGCGCCGTATACCTCCTCCCCCTCCCCGGTCGCCCGGCACCATGTACAACCGGCCGACCGCTCGTGTAATACCCCACGGAACACCTCCACCTCCATGCTCTCCTCGGCCTGCCGCCTCCTCTCCGCCTGACCCCGCGTCCGCCGCTGCACCCGACCCCGCAGTATCTCCGCCTCGATCTCCATGGCGCCCTCCTTGCCATCCCCGGTGCCCTCGCTCGCTGCCGCCCCTGTGCTTGCGTGCTCCTCGCCCGCTGCCGCCCCTGTGCTTGCGTGCTCCTCGCCGTCCATCTCCCTTGCCCTCTCCTGCCACCCCCTCTCTGTGACCCACCCTCGCCGCCGCCTCACCGCCCCGAATCCGCCCTGCCCTTGCCTGCTGCTCCTCCTCCTCTACCCCTTCTTCATCTTCTTCCCCCTCCACCCTTCCTCGCCCCTCCCCTGTACTTGCTGTATGCTCCGCCCGCCCGCCCGCCCAACCCTGCCCTCGCCCACGCCTCGCACCGGTAACACGCCTCCTCCCCATCCTCGCACCCCGTCCAGTCCACCCGCCCGTCCATCTCGCCGTCCAACACCGCCCGCACGCACCCCTTCGTCTCTATAAACCCCAACATCGCTCGCTCCACCCCTCGCGCCTCCGCCTGGTCCGCCGTCTCCTCCATCGGCCGCCTGTGCCGGTCGTACGACACTGCCCGCACCATGATCGCCTCGCTCGCCTGCCCGTCGCGCCCGGCCCGCCCACTCTCCTGCGCGTAATCCCGCAACTGCCGTACCAACCCGACCTGCACCACTGCCCGGATCCTCGGCGCGTCCACCCCTAATCCCAACGCGTTCGTCGCCGTGAACACCTGCCCCGTGCCCTCGCGTAACTGCCGGACTGCTGCCCGCTTCGCCTCCGCCCCACCGACGTTCCGATGCTAACACAACCCTCCTAACCGCTTCGCGTACTGCTCCGCCTTCCTGACCGTGTCGCAATATACTACAATCTGCTCGCCCCCGGCCTCCTTGTACTTCGCCGCACCCACATGTTGGCCGACAACCGCGACTGCTCGCCGATCAATGCCGCCGCCGCCTCGTCCTTCTTCCTGACGGCCTCCACCAACGCCTCGAACTCGGCCCGGATGACTGCTTGGACATGCCGCCCGTCTCCTTCGCCCTCGCCGCTCCCGCCTCCATCCTGGACTCCGTCGGTCGGCGCTATCACCTCGGAAAACCGCTGCAACGCGCCTGTATGGCCGAACCGCTGGCAATGCACCCCATCCGCCCATGCCTCGCCTAACCCGCCGGCCGGCCTCGCCCCCCGGGTTTGCCGCCACGCCTCCTTGGGTTGGCCCAACCGTGCTCCAACCGGCAATGCTTCTGGATGTCCTGCCTCGTGCGCCGTATGTGCCCGCACTGCACACACCGCTTGCCATCGCTCCAAACGGGCAAACTATCGATTACGGGTATGACCTGGTCGGGGAACCGGATGTCAGTCATGTATATCGCCGGCCAACAACCGTTTCCGTGCAACGCCGACGCCTCCTCTACAATGCATCGCCGGGTGCACGCCGCTAAATGGCCGTGATGCGAATTGACGTGCCGCGCGACCGACTTGGCCGTGACGGCGGTGCGGTGCTCGCGGCAAACTGCCGTTCGAAACGCTGGTAACGGTACGAATAACTCGTCAAACGACGCCATGACTATTGATCTCTCTTCGCTCCCGCTCTCTTTTCCTTCGTTTTGGCCTTTTTGCCCCGGCAATCTAGTTGTCACCTTGCTTTGCTGGGGAGTCACTGGGCGATTGGCATTGCTAACGGCTACCGCTTTCTTTTCCTACTTCCCTTTTGTCTTTTTTCCCCCTAATTCAAAATGCTCTGCACCCCC